AACCTCAGTGAAAAACAATGTTGCAAACCCGGAAGAGTACCTCTCACCATCTTAAGTGCACTCCAAAATCTCAAGCTTGCTTTAAAAGCCCACAATATGGGTATTTAAAGTCTTTTCGAAGACCTCTCCCAAATACCACACATCTCCAGATGAACCACGTAAGAAGCTTGAAAGCAGTGAAGGATGCTAACCTGCTGATGCAAGTTTCTGACACCAATCTTTCAAGCCACCAATAACCAGGTCTTCAGTTACCTTTTCCGTCTTCCCCATCTTGCAGCAAAGCAGTTTTGCTTTTTCCCCTGCACTTAGCAGAGTTTTAAGCATTTTAGAAAGTTTCCAAGCAACTGTTTTCTGTGCTTACAAGCGATAATTTAACTAGCATTAACAATTTACTATTAACTAGTAATTTCTTTGCGCATGAGCTCTATATAATTCCCCAGAGCTCTGTCTACTGATCTTTTCTCCAGAGAATTCCCTTCAACCCACATTCCCTACCACTCCCACCCTCTACAACCCACACCTAACCACAACCCTCCCCCCTTCTCCCTTTCTTCACGCCCACCCCTCCCACCCCTCCCAGCACCTGCAGCAGGCTTTTCCCTCCCCACCACCCCTCACCTCAGGGTCCTCCCATTTGAACACTAAGATTACTCTCAAATCTGATCAAGTAAAACTGAAGTTAAAAAACACAAAGAGCAAGATGAATCAAAGATCACTACCGGTATCCTGACCGCTCCCTTCTTAGTAGGAATGCCCAAACTAGACCTGCCATTTCTATCACAATTGGGGCGTGACCAACCCGTACCTCCAGCACAGTACAATGACCCCCTCAATTTGCCAGTTGGCTCATTTAAGTATTTGCCTAAGGCATTCAATCGTGAACACTTTCCAAACACACAGATTATATCATCACACTAAGAATTCCTCCGACCAATGCGCAGGAAGGCGGGCGGGTAGATGAGAGGGGCACGGGGATGCATCTGCAAGCTCCGTCTACAAGGCAGCACTCTGTGTTGTGGCATCGCGTTAAAATGTTCTACAGCTTACGAGTCCTCCGGGAGCAAGGTGCGTGGCACAGAACTAGTACAACAGGAGGCTGAATTTAGAAGATGCAGCATCTGAAAACCTCCACCCCGGAACAGGAGAGGCGCCTGCTGGCATTCACGTGCCCAGAGATCGCTGCTCCCGGATTACACACTCAAAGCAACGCATCTGCTGAAGGCCCCGGATGCATGTGCTTTGGACTTTTAAAGATTGCCCCCTCGTAAGCTCATCTGAAAACCTTACAGGGTGGTCTCCTGAATGAATACAGGGCTTCCTGAGCAAGGCCTGGAAACAGGACATTGGAGAACTCCTCCTCCTAAGCCTCTGGAAATTCAATCTGTAGACATCAATTTAGGCGGGCTCTCTCCTCCTCCAGGGTCTCCCCTCCTGCACGGCTACGACTCACACTGGCCAGGGGCTCCATTTCTCCTGGTGCCACCGGCTTGCCATGATGAACACTACAGTAACAGACCACGGTCTATGAAGCATTTCTGTAGCTTTCAGCTGGTACCATCGCTGTGGGCCCACCCAAGGGTGTACCTTCCATCCCCACCCTCTCCACCGGCAAACAAAACCAACCCGCCCACCCAGAGTCTCCGCTGGGGACGCCTCTCCTCCTTCGGGGTTACCGACAATACCGACTCCGGCAGGGACTCCAGCAACTTTCCCGGCTTACCAGATTACCAGAAGCAACGTTTTAAGTGAAGGGGTAACCTCGAGAGAGTTAAGAGGGAGGAGGAAGGGCAGAGTGAGGTCACAGAAGAGGTAAGCATGGAACCTAGAGGAAAAGTCCAAAGGGGTGCACTGCCACCGCCCTGGGCCAGAACTGTCAGCCCCGCGAAGCTAAGTTCAGTTTCCACAACACCAGGCCTCATCCCCAGGCGGGTTCACAACCCTCTGTACAGGAGCGGCGCCCTCCTAGAGGTCAGGCCCCCCTTCTCCAGCAGGCAGCTGCGACAGCCAGGCCTGGGGTGTTCTCCTCCCCCACGGGTTACTGTGGACACTTCCGACGCAGCTCTTCCCAGCACAGTTCCCCCAACATCTAGTCTCCCCTTCAACCTTCCTTCTCCTGGCACCCCCCCAACCCCCAGCCCCATCTAACTCTGCCATCTCCCCCACCTGTCCCCTGAGACCCTAAACTGGCCACCTCCTCCCCCAAAACTAAGCCCAGGGCCCTCGCCCTCCCTGTCGCTAACTCCTCCACAGCAGTTTTTAAATATGCATAGACAGTCTTCACACAGACATCTAATAAGGTGGCAGCCCCTACTTATGCCTCCCAGAGAAGACCGCCTTATCCCCACGCCACCCCAGGAAGGCAAGCCAGGCGAACGACTGAGCAGCCTGAGCCCATTCTGAAAAGCGGTCATGTTTTGGTTACCAGCATATCCTGAATGCCAAGGAAAGGAAACAAAAACCACAGCACACTGCCTTTTAGTTTCATTTCTGCCGTGGTACTGCCTATCTGACCCTGGCCACAAAGTTTCTGTTTCCTAGTTTCCTCCTTGTACAGACACGTCATGTGTTCAACCAAACCCCATTTCCTCTCCTTCCAGGGCACGTGGCTGGACTGTGTTTTGTTGCCTCCCTTAAAGCTGGGTGGGGTCACTGGTCTGATTTTGGCTTAGAGGAATCAGGTCAGAAGTGACATTTGCCATTTCCAGTCCTTGATTCTAAAAAACACCCTTTCACACTGCTTTAATGCTTTCCTTCTCTGTGCGCCTCTGTCTCTCTCTCTCTCCTGTGGGCCAGCTGAGTGTAGAGAATTCAGCAGAGGACTTCAAGGCCATAGGAGATGGTGGAGTCACCAGACGGTAGAAAATGAGGTCCCTGAGTAACCACAGAGAGCAAAAACGTTCCACCCAAATGACATTAGCCTTGCAACGGGAGCGAGAAATAACCCTTTTCTGTATTTAGATGCTACTTTGTCCTTTGTTTCCCTTTAGCATCTTCTGAGAAATTGGCTCCATGGAATTATTTGTCCTGAAGTCACAGCAAATGTCCCTACAGGTCAAACCCAAAGATGGCCTCCAATGATTCTCATCTCCTGGGATTCAAGTCCTTGTGTGGTTCCCCCCACTCAACATTGAATTGTAGCTGGCCAGTGTGACCCAAGAACACTGCAGAAGAAATAGTGTATGATTCCAAGACATGGCAAATTGTGCCCTGGTCTGTCTTAGGCCACTTGCTCTGTAGGAAGCCAGCCACAAAGTCATGAGGACTTTTAAGCATCCCTGTGCAGAGGCCTACATGATGAAAAACTGAGACTTCCCACCATCCACGGGTGCCCGCTCGCAGCCACGTGTGTATGCCACCTGGGAAGCACATTCTGTAGCCTCTGTCAAGGCTGGAGATGACTGCAATCCTGGCTGACAGCTTGGCAGCAACCTCCTGAGATATCCTGAGACACGAACACACTAAGGGACTCCTGAATTCCTGAGCCAGAGAAACTGTGACATAGTAAATATTTATTGTTGTTTTCAGCCTGCAAAGTAGCGGGGTAATTTGTGATACAGCAGTAGATAATGCTATCCGTGATACTGTTATTTGTGAAAATTTCTATATTCTTTTGTTTTAATCTCTTTTCCCCCCAGTATTATTGAATATAATTGAGACATAACATTGTGTAAGTCTTTTTTTAATTAATTAATTTATTTATTTGTTATTATTTTGGGCTGTGTTGGGTCTTCGCTGTGATGCATGGGCTTCTCATCGTCGTGGCTTCTCTTGTTGCAGAGCACGGGCTCTAGGTGCGCGGGCTTCAGTAGTTGTGACCCATGGGCTTAGTTGCTCCACAGCATGTGGAATCTTCCCCGACCAGGGATCAAAACTGTGTCCCCTGCATTGGCAGGTGGATTCTTAACCACTGTGCCACCAGGGAAGCCCCACTAAGTTAAGGTGTACAACGTAATGATTTGATATATTGCAAAATGATTACTACAATAAGGTAAGTTAACACATTCATCACCGCACAGACTTACACCTCTTTGTGTATGGCAAGAACATTTAAGATCTACTCTTAGAAAATTTCAATTGCACAATACAGTATAAACTATAATCACCATGCTGTACCTTATATCCCCAGAATTTGTTCATCTTAAAACTGAAAGTTTGTCCAGGAATTCCCTGGCGGTCCAGTGGTTAGGACTCTGCGCTCTCACTGCCGAGTGCTGGGTTTAATCCTTAGTTGGAGAACTAAGATCCCACAAGCCGCATGGTGTAGTCAAAAAAACCCAAAAAACAACACTGAAAGTTTCTACCCTCTGACCACTTTCACTCCTGTCCCTGGCAACCACTAATTTTGTCTCTTTCCATGAGGTCAGATTTTTTTTTTTTTTTTGAGGTCAGATTTTTTTAAGAGTCCACATATTAGTGAGATCATATAGTATTTGTCTGTCTCTGACTTATTTCAAAGAGCAAAATGCCTTCAAGTTTCTTCTATGTTGTTGCAAAGGGCAGGATTTTCTTCCTTTTTATGGCTATATAATATTCCATTGTGTGTGTATATATGTATATATACCACATCTTCTTTATCCATTCATCTGTTGGTGGATACTTAGATTGTTTTCAGGTCTTGGCTATTGTAAATAATGCTACAATGAACACAGAAGTGCAGATATTTCTTTGAGAAAATGATTTCATTTCCTTCAGATACATAAGGATTGCTTTGGCTATTCAGGGTCTTCTGTTGCTCCATATGAAATTTAGGATTTTTCTTTCATTTCTGTAAAAAATACCATTGGAATCTTGATAGGGACTGCATTGAATTTATAGATGGCTTTGTATAGTAGGGACATTTTAACAATATTATTTCTTCCATCCACGACCATCGGATGTCTTTCCATTTATTTGTGTCTTCTTCAATCTCTCTTGTAGATTTCAGTGTACAGATCTTTCACCTCCTCGGTCAAATTAATTCCGAAGTATTTTATCATTTTTCATTGCTACTATAAATGGGATTTTTTTTTTAAATTTCTTTTCCAGATAACATGTTGTTAGTGTCTAGAAATGCAAACGTAAAATTTCTCGATTCTAATGGTACTCTTTAGTGGTCCATCAGTTCCTGTTCATGAAACAGTATATACTCTATTCATCTCCAAGTCAAAGGAAGTTGTATCAACCCTGTATGTAAAAGGATATGGGGTGGAATCATTTGGTAATGGCAATTTCGAGGAATAAGTCTGAACAAGGTCGGCTGATTCTGACATCTTGAAATATTTAAACAGGGAGGGAGACCCTGAAATAAAAAAGAAGTTAGGGTGATATTTCACAAACATTTCAAAACATCATTTGAAAGACCACTGAACTACTTGCAAGAGAATACAAGTGGGACACATACATTCCTTCAGTAAGATGACACACACCAATAAGGGAAGGAAGAATTGTGCAATCTGGTGTGACAAGTATGTGCTGTAACAACAACAGTAATGATGATGATGAAATCTAACTCCTATGGAGTCCACATATATCTTAGACCAGTTTATCCGTTCCTTTCTCCCACTTATTTCCCACAAAGAGATTGTCTTGTTCTCACATTTTTAAAGATGTCAGGTAAATAACTAAATGTCAATATAAATGGCAAAGTGATGGTGAGAAGAGTATGTGTCAACGTAATCAGGAGAGAAGTCTGAAGACGGATGCCTCTTTTTGCATCAGAATCATTTTCCCTTATAGTAACTTACTAGAATTATGCAGTGGAGTTCCAGTGCATACAGCTTCATCAACAGAGGGGGGTATCTTGGCCAGTGAGCTTCTTTCCCAGGTGCGTAGTTGACAAAATGCCTCCAGCAGTAATCATACTCTAAGGAAACACAAATCTTGGTTCAGTCAACACATACAACAGAAAATTAAAGAGAGCCCAATTTAAAAATAATAATAATTATAATAATAATTATTATTGTTATTAAATAATAATACTATGGGGCTTCCCTGGTGGCGCCATGGTTAAGAATCCTCCTGCCAATGCAGGAGACACGGGTTCAAGCCCTGGTCCGGGAAGATCCCACATGTCGTGGAGCAACTAAGCCCGTGCGCCACAACTACTGAGCCTGCGCTCTAGAGCTCGTGCTCTGCAACAAGAGAAGCCACCGCAATGAGAAGCCCACGCACCACAATGAAGAGTAGCCCCCGTTCGCCGCAGCTAGAGTAAGCCCGCACACAGCAACGAGGACCCACTACAGCCAAAAATAAATAAATAAATTTATTTTTTAAAAAATACAATAGATATAAAAATCTCTCTGGCCTATTTATTGCCGGAGAAGGCTAGACTCTTCCAGAATCCCTTAAAGGAACTCAGCAATTCATTTGAAGATGGCACAGAGGCCATAGCGACAGGAGTGGGGAAAGGAGTCATATCTTTGGTGCTTTCCTTGCTATGAATTTCAGACCTGGTCCTTTCTCCTGTTATTTTGGACTTTTAACTTCTGAGACTTCCGGTCTGGGGTAATCAGTCTCCTGGCCTAGAAACATATCACCACCACCACAGTCTCTAAGAAACACTTAAGATTCCTGGTTTATTGCTTTCACCTGTGGGTCCCATAATCTGGATAGTCACACCACTGTGAGTCAGGTCTCTGAGTCCTTGCCGGTTTCGCCGATCCTTGTGCTGGAAAAGCCGTGCTACGTAAATAAGCAGGGTCACTCTAGGATGCTGATTCAAAAATTTCCGAATAGCCTCGGAGCATTCCCAGCAGGGACTCCAGGACAAGAACCAGATGATGCAGCAACTGACGGATCGGTGAAAACGTCTTTCTGAAGTAATTTGTTCTATAAAATTGCGTTCAACGTGCTCGGTGGTGTTTTTGCCCGAGTGTCGCCAGATGCGCTGGCTCTTGCCCCACTTGATTTCATAGAGCAGACGGGTCTCTTTACAGAGTTCTCGGGGGTCAAAGGAGACTTCAAATTCCCAGGGTTCAATTCTTCTCCTGAAATATAAAAAATCACTCGTGTTGTTATGTCATCATTTGAGGGACCCTAGAAATAATTTCATCTTCTCCTTCTGGATCAGGCAGATCTAAAACATGACATCTCATGGACTTCCCTGGTGGTCCAGTAGGTAAGACTCCGTGCTCCCAATGTAGGGGGCCGGGGTTCGATCCCTGGTCAGGGAACTAGATCCCGCATGCATGCCGAAACTAAGAGCCCACATGCCCCCACTAAAGATCCCGCGGGCCGCAACTAAGACCCTTCACGGCCTAAATAAATAAATATTTAAAACATGACATCTCAGGAAAATTTTTTTTTTCTATTCTGTATCTCAAAGTTATCTGGGGAGGTCCGTTTGGATTATTAAATTTTCTCTCACAAACATAGTGAAGAGATTTTTCCCAGCTCATGTTATTTGGTTACCACTCTCTATACCATTGCTTGGTGGTCTTGAATTCAGGTATAAGTGTGTCCTTGTTCCTCTTTTAAACGTTTCTCATTATATTCTAATCTTATTTTATCTTTTTCTTTATTTATTTTTGGCCATGCTGTGCGGATTGCAGGATCTTATTTCCCCAACCAGGGATTGAACCCATGCTCTCGGCAGTGAAACTGCCCAGTCCAAACCCCTGGACCACCAGGGAATTCCCTCTAATCTCTCTATCTCATACTTAGAGGTGACCTGTCCCACTCATTAATCTTCACTATTCCTCAGGGGACTCTAGCTAGAGTTTTTTCAGGTGTGGAAGTCTCAAATTGCCAAGAGGATTCTATTCCCAACTCTGAGAAGAGACTAATTTAACCTCAGGCTTCATCCACATTCAATTCTGCACACTATTTCCTCAAAAGAAATAAATTCAAATTTCTCTCAAGGGCATCTTTGGATAACCACCCTCATTGTGGGTCAAAGCTGTGACTCAGAATTATTCTGAGGACTCTTCCTTGCAATATGGTTGAGTCATAAGTTTATTACATCATCATATTTTCCACTCATTCCTAAAGAATCACTTCATTTATTATGTAAATCAATCCTTCCACCCACCCATCACGAGATAATATGCTCCCTGACAAAAGTCTCCCTGTTATAAAAATAGGTCTAGGTGCCAGGGAGGCAAGACCCAGCCTCCCCAGATGCCTTTACTTGTTTTTGTTTTTTTTTGAAAACTGTGCAAAATGTTCATTTATTATGTCCATCATTCTACAAACATTTATTGAGAATCTAGTATGTGATCTGCTATGTGTTCTAAAACCTGGGGATACAGCCATGAACAAAATAAAACCAATCTCTGCTCTCCTGGAACTTCAAAAAAAGAAAAAAAATAGGTGTAGGGAATTCCCTGGTGGTCCAGTAGTTAGGACTCCACGTTTCCACTACTAGGGAGCTGGGTTCAATCTCTGGTCGGGGGACTTAGATCCCCACAAGCCAGGTGATGTGGCCAAAAAAAAAAAAAGTCTAGAAAATGGGCATAGAGTATGGAATAAGAGGATGAAATCAAAGTGACAAATGAGTTCCCTGGACTTTTCACTAATGACTATGAAAACCTGTGATTTAAAGAGAGAAGAACAATAGTAAGAGGATAACAGAACAAAGCTGGAAGGTAATTTTTTTCAACAGAAACCAAAAGCCATAGGAGCAAAGATACAGAAAGCAATAATAATCATAGAGGATAGAGAGAGAAAAAGCAAAAGAAAAAATGGGAGCGTGGAATAAGTAAGGAACAATAAGGAAAGCTATAGTCCTCCATCTCTTAAATATCCATCTATTCTTGGTTGAATTAAATGTGCACTATGATAGTATAATTCTTACCTCAAGGTAGCATCTCCAGCTGAAGGACCTGTTGACCAACAGATGATCATGTCAGATAACACCCATATACAAATTGAATTACTAAGAAAAAACGCTCTATTCTTCAAACCCACAAACCATATCAGAAAATGCAGTTAGGGCTTCCCTGGTGGCGCAGTGGTTGAGAGTCCGCCTGCCAATGCAGGGGACACGGGTTCGTGCCCCGGTCTGGGAAGATCCCACGTGCCGCGGAGCGGCTGGGCCCGTGAGCCATGGCCGCTGGGCCTGCGCGTCCGGAGCCTGTGCTCCGCAACGGGAGAGGCCACAGCAGTGAGGGGCCCGCGTACCGAAAAAAAAAAAAAAAAAAGATGATATATAAGCCATCTTAATTCTAACCAAAGTCCTTGAGTCACATTTTGGTGAATTGCTCTGTGTAATTTTGTATTTTTTTTTTTTGCTAATCTGTCTTTTGTCGGTTTAATTTTTTTTTTTTTGTCGGTTTAATTTGCAGTGCCCCCTCCCAGAACAAAATCTAAGAGGGTAGAGGAAAAGATTTTCTTCCTAAACAATGTGTGCGCATGTGTGCGCGCGTGTGTGTGCGTGCGTGCGTGTGTATGCGCGTGTGTGTGCGTGTGTGTCTGTTTGTGCATTTGTACTAAATGGAGAGACACTGTGTATGGCACACTTTCCTGTAGGTGGAAAATGGTTCTAGCTCGTGTGTGAGACCGAAAAGATAAATCAGCAAAAGATATATAGGAAAGAGGACAGAGTCAGTAAATACTATTCTAAGTGTAACATGAAGAATAAACTTCTCATCCTTAGAAGAATATGCAGGGAATCTGACATGAGATGGAGGAGAAAGCGGATGGCTAACACCTTGGAATGGGCACTTCTCAGACCTTACTTCAGATTGGGGCCTTTGGGACTTCCCTGGCGGTCCAGTGGTTAAGACTTTGCCTTCCAATGCAGGGGGTGAGAGTTCTATCCCTGGTCAGGGAGCTAAGATCCCACATGCCTTGCGGCCAAAAAAAAACAAAACATAAAACAGAAGCAATATTGTAACAAATTCAATAAAGACTTTAGAAATGGTCCCCATCAAGGTACTTCCCTGGTGGCGCAGTGGTCAAGAATCCACCTGCCAAGGCAGGGGACACGGGTTCGAGCCCTGGTCCAGGAAGATCCCACATGCCGCGGAGCAACTAAGCCCGTGCGCCACAACTACTGAAGCCCGCGCGCCTAGAGCCCGTGAGCCACAACTACTGAGCCCGCGTGCCACAACTACTGAAGCCTGCGTACCTAGAGCCCGTGCTCCGCAACAAGAGAAGCCACTGCAATGAGAAGCCCGCACACCGCAACGAAGAGTAGCCCCTGCTCGCAGCAACTAGAGAAAGCCTGCGCACAGCAACAAAAACCCAACGCAGTCAAAAATAAATAAGTAAATAAACAAAACAAAACAAAACAAAAAACCAAATTGGGGCCTTTGAACCAGCTGGTCTACTCAGCGAGGGCCTTGTAGAAACAGAGGCCATACCTCTATGAGGAGGTGAACCAGCAGTGAGAACTTCAGAAAGAGAGATTGAGATACATTCTCAGCATCTACACATGTGGTGCCAGGCAAGAACACTAGGTACATGACTAGGGGTGGTTTGAGGGATAAAACATACCACCTTCAAGGGAAATTACCCAGATATTTCAATTAAATAAAGACTTTACACTTTTTCCCAAAATACCAGTCACAAGAGAATTTTAATAGAGGGAAAATATAATGGAGAAAAAATATTGTTTCTTGAAACCTAAGACTGACACCTGCATTTTGTCTTATCACATGATGCCCACACTCTTGCAATAGTCTTTTCACTGGCCTCCTTTCTTCCTGTCTTTTCTGCTTTCAGTCAAGGAGGCATCAGAATGAGAAGCCTGTGCACTGTAACGAAGACCCAATGCAGCCAAAAATAAATAAATTTATTAAAAACAAACAAACAAATTTGCTTTCTAATCTCACTGCAGATTGTTTCCAAAAACTCTTCTCTATCTTAACCAACTTATTCTTTATATTCCACACACAATCTTTGTAAATTCTCTTAAACTCTCAGTGTCAATCAACCTGGAATCTCCTCCTCTTTGCCAATTCAAATTCTGCCCTTTCAGGATCCAGTTCAAATCCCACCTCATCTGAAAATCATCACCTTCCACAACCTGAGTGTTTTTCCTCTCCCACGAATTTTTCTAACATTAAGTAACGGAACCTTAAATTATCCATTAACTTGCCCTTGTGCTATCACTTCTGCTGTTATTTTAAACTTTTATTTAACAGTTGTATTTCTTTTACTTAATTTTTTATTATGGTGAAACAAGCATTGCTTTAGTGCCATCTGATCAAAATCATTTTTGGATGTGAACAGTTGGTATTAATAATAATGACAACAACAATAATAATAAATCCTGTTTAAGAATATTAACAAATAGGAAAGTTGGAAAATGTCCAAGGATACAAACAGAAGCAGGACACATACACACACACACACACGCAAGCACACACACAGAGTTTTCGCATTTTTCAAGAACATGTAGCTTTCAGGCCCCCGTCCATTTTACCTCTGTCAGAAGCCATGCTGCTCTGTCACTGGACTTTTTCCCCTGGAGCTATATATTGTGCTGCCAGCAACCCGCCTCACACTGTTTCTGCGGGTGTGACCACTGCCACCTGTTTGGGCAGAGGATGACTCATTCCTGTGTCTCAGGCCGATACTGGGTATCTAGACTGCACAGACAGGTAGCAGGTGAAGAGGGAAGTTGCTGGAGGTTGATAAGAAAGCCTACGATGCAGATAGTTAATTCTGTAGCATAATTCATTGAGAACATCCAAATTTCAAAGTTCTTGCGTGATAACTCAGAATGTAGGAACACTTCCCTTACAAGTTAAAGCAAGACTGATGCATCATTCTTTACTGGAAAAAAAAGAGGAAGAAGAAAGGGAAGAGAGAACTGGCCTGTTTCCGTGACGTGAATGTTTTCATTGTTGCCTGGTGAAGACAGTGAGGCCTCGCCCTTTAGCTGTTATTTATTTCTAACTTCCCCTTATTTTGCTCTTCACCCTAGATTCTGTTGGAAAGGGGAGGGGCGCTATTAGAAGCGAAAGCAAAAGGACTTTGGTCTCTGAGTCACGTAATTAGAGTACAAGTTTCAGGTGATTTCTCTTGCTTCTTGAAGCTAAGGTTAACGTTAAGCCCAGTCCACTTCCGCTTTTTTTCTTCCTTGAGAAAATGAATACTATACTCCCTATTGCCATTGTCTCCTGTTGCCTGAACCCTGAGTCAATCTCCTCTGGGTTTGAGCACACACACTCCCAGAACTGAGGTCACTCTCAAGACCTAAGTCTCCCTCTAGGGTCTCAAATCTAGAGCCCCTGAACTTTGAGTCTCAAATTCAACGAACCCTACACCTGATCCCTAAATATAAGACTTTCCTTAATCATGAAATGAAGCTGGAGCCTGGACAAGATGAAGCAGTTGTTGGGAGTGGCAGGTGATACTTTTGAAGAAGGGACAGAAGTGCCTCATCATAAGTAAAGGTCCTTCAGGGACTTCCCTGGTGGCATAGTGGTTAAGAATCCGCCTACCAATTCAGGGGACATGGGTTCGAGCCCTGGTCCAGGAAGATCCCACATGCCGCGGAGCAACTAAGCCTGTGCGCCACAACTGCTGCGCCACAGCTACTGAAGCCCGTGTGCCTAGAGCCTGTGCTCTGCAACAAGAGAAGTCACCGCAATGAGAAGCCCGCGCACCGCAACGAAGAGTAGCCCCTGCTCGCAGCAACTAGGGAAAGCCTGCGCGCAGCAACGAAGACCCAACGCAGCCAAAAATAAATAGATAGACAAATTAATTTTTTTAAAAAAAAAGGTCCTTCAGAAGACAAGTGTTTCAGTGAGGCATGTGTGGTGGGTAGAATAATGGCCCCCCCAAAGGTGTCCACCTTCTAACCCCTGGAACCTATAAATATGTTACCTTACAATAGCATAATGGACTGTGCAGATGTGATAGATGTGATTAAGTTAAGAATCTTGAGGTGAGAAGATTATCCTGGATCATCTGGCTGGTCTCAATCTAGTCTCAAAGACCCTTATAAAAGGGAGGCAGAGGCAGAGTCAGAAAAGGACATGTGAAAAAGATGTGTCGGGGTGGGGGGGAGAAAAAAAAAAGAGAAGATGTATGATGTGGTTATTGGCTGAGGAGGGCCGTGAGTCGAGGCATGAGGACAGCCTCTAAAAGCTGGACAAGGCAAGGAAATGATTCTTCCCTAGAGTCTCCTAGAAGAATGGTGCCCTTTTGACACCTTGATTTTAGCCCAGTGATACCCTATTTTGTGCTTCTGATTTCCAGAGCTGTGAGATAGATAAGTTACATTGTTTTACACCGCTAAGTTCGTGGTCATTTGTTACAGCAGCAATAGGAAACTAATACAGCAAGACAGACTCGGGAGAGGCACATATGTAACAGGTAAGGCGGTATATAATTTGAGTTAGTTTCTACTAGAACTCCTACTGAATGCTTGATCCATCTTCTGTATTATTTTAGGAAATTCAGAACTGACACATGTGATAGACTGTCATGCATTCATCATGTGTAAGAGAGGTCAAAGATAATCAACTATAAAATGTTACTATTCAGTTTAGATCTCTGTCCTGTTCCTGTTATGCATTTTTTTAAATGCATACATATACCTTTGTATCCACTCCACAATCAAGATATTTAAGCTTCTCATCACCCAGAAAATTCCCCTGTGTCTGTTTGCAGTCATTCCTCCAACTCCCAGTCCTATAGGCAACCACTGATATTTCTGTCACTAAAGATTAGTTTAGACTGTTCTACATATCATACAAATGGAATCATATAATGTGTAAGCTTTTATGTTTGCTTTTGTGAAATAAAATTCATATTTATGACGAGACAAGAAAAATTTAAACATAAAATTTCTTCTCTGCCCTTTGGCCTTCCCTCTTGCCCCACTGTGCATTGTGTATCCACATTATGCATTGACCAAACCTCCCCCATCAGCAGCTCAACCATAGACAGCAACATTCTCCTAGCAACAACAAGACATCTCCTTAAAAGTAAACATTCCTTCCTGATGTGTAAAGGATCACAAGACCCACGACAATGGTGCTTAAATCTGGATTAGGTAAACTGTCAATACCTCATTTAATGTACAGTCTTCTGTCTCAAAAAGGTTACCTAAACTGGATTTTGACTTCTTCTTTTTTTTTTTTTTCTAGTGTGGAGTAGCCAGTGAGATCTTAATTCCCTGGCCTGGGATAGAACCCATGCCCCTCAAACCCATGCCCCACCCCTCTCAGTGGAAGCACGGAGGGTTAACCACTGAACTGCCAGGGAAATCCCACACTGTGTCTTGACTTCTAAGGGGTGGAAGTTCTCAGAGCTTTCTGAGATGCTCTTCTGGGTTAAAATCCTCGAATTTACCTCAAATAAAATTTTGCAATTCTTAGATTGACGGATAAATTTTTCATTGACACTTTTTTTGCTCAGCTATCCTGTGAAATTAATCTACATGATTAGGTGTATCCGTGGTTCATTTCTTTCTGTTGCTGAGTGGAATTCCATCATATGGGTATGCTGCAATTTGTTTATTCATTTATCCTTTGGTGGACTTAGGGTTATTTTCCAATTTTAGGCTATTGTGAATAAAGATGATACGAACATTTGTGTACAACTCTTTGTGTAGGAGTTTCTTTTTTCTTCTCTTGATCAAAGAACCTGGGAGTAGAATTGCTAGATCAAATAGGTAAGTGTGTATTTAACTTTTAAGAAAATGCTGGACAGTTATAACAGTTTACATTCCGACCAGGAGGAAATGGGTGTTCCAGTTGCTTGATATCCTTACCAACACTTGGTAATGTCAGCCCTTCTAGTTGCAGTAATTTCTGTGGGTATGTGGATTTTAGTTTGCATTTTCCTGATGATTAATGATGTTGAGCATCTTTTCATGTGCTTGTTAGTTATTTATATATCTTCTTTTTTCAAGCCTGTTTGAGTATCCTGTCCATTTTTTAATTTTATTTTTGTCTCCTTACTGAGTTGTAAGAATTCATTATATATTGTGGATACCATTCCTTTGTCATATCTTTATATATATTTTACTAAGTTTCTGGCTTGACTCTTCATTTCCTTAATGGTGTCTTTTGAGGAACAGATATTCTCAATTTTTATGAAGTTCAATTTATCAGTTTTCTTTTTATGGTTAGTGCTTCTTAGATCTTGTCTACAAAATCATAGACAAAGGACACGAAGATATTCTCCTATATTTTCTTCTAGTACTCATAGTTTTGGTTTTAGCTTTTACATTAGGTCTGCAATCCATTTTTTTTTTAAGGAACATTTATTTATTTATTTATTTTGGCTGCATTGGGTCTTCGTTGCTGCGCACGGGCTTTCTCTAGTTGCAACGAGCGGGGGCTACTCTTCGTTGCTGTGCACGGGCTTCTCATTGTGGTGGCTTCTCTTGTTGCGGAGCATGGGCTCTAGGCGTGCAGCCTTCAGTAGTTGTGGCACGCGGGCTCAGTAGTTGTGGTTTGCGGGCTCTAGAGCACAGGCTCAGTAGTTGCGGCACTGGGCTTAGTTGCTCCGCAACATGCGGGATCATCCCGGACCAGGGATCGAACCCTCGTCCCCTGTGTTGGCAGCTGGATTCTTAACCACTGCGCCACCAGAGAAGTCCTGCAATCCATTTTTTGAGCTTGTGGTGTGATGTAAGAGTCAGGGTTGGTTTTTGTCCACGTGGATATTATATTAATCAGCTAGGGCTGCCATAATCAAATCCCACAAACTGGGGGCTTAAACAATAAAAATTTACTTTCTCAGAGTTCTGGAGGCTAGAAGTTCAAGATCAAAGTTCCAACCAATTGGGGGTTTTGTGAGAACTTCCTGACTTGTAAACACTGCCTTTTTGCTGTGCGCTCACCTGACCTTACCGTGTGTGTGCACCCTGCAGGGGTGGGGAGCTCTCTTCTGATGAGGACACTAATCCTATCAGATCAGGGGTCCACCCTCATGAGCTCATTTAAGTTTAATTATTTTCTCAGAGGCTCCCATTTCCAAATATAGCCACACTGGCTGTTAGGGCTTCAACATAAGAATCAAGGGGTACCAAACATTCAGCCCATAACAGATATCTATGTCATTTTCCCCATATGGATAACTGGTTTTGGTAGCACCATTTGTTGAAAAGACTGTACTTTTCCCATTGAATTGCCTTGGCACCTTTATTGAAATCAGTTGATCACATATGTGTAAATTCATTTTTGAAATCTCTCTTTCATTCCATTGATCTATATGTCATAATTATGCTTATATCACAGTTATAATTATTATAGATTAATAATGTCTTTTTATGTTGGGTTAAATAAAATATTATTATTATTGGGGTATAGTTGCTTTACAATGTTGTGTTACTTTCTGCTGTACAATGAAGTGAATCAGCTATGTGTATACATAAATCCCCTCCCTCTTGGACCTCCTTCCCACACACACCCCCATCCCACCCACCTAGGTAGGTCACCATGGAACACGGAGCTGAGCTCCCTGTGCTACACAGCAGGTTCCCACTAGCAATCTGTTTTACACACGGCAGTGCACATATGTCAATCCCAATAACCCAGTTCATCCCAATCCCCCCCACCCCACCCCACCCCGGTGTCCACACATCCGTTCTCTACGTCTACATCTCTCTTCCTGCCCTGCAAAATCAGGTAGTGTACATTCTGATTTCCCCAGAGTGCTTTGGCTATGTAAATTCTAGTTTGTCATTGTCTACAAACATGCCTGCTGCGGTTTTGATTGGTATTGTGTTGAATTTATAGATCAACTTGAATAGAATTGAAACATTAAGACATTGTGTGTTCTAAATCTCAAACATGCTATATTCTTTCAGTTATTTAAGGATTGATTTCACTTAGCAATGTTTTGTGATATTCAGTGTGTGTATTGTATAGTTTACTAAACGTATCCCTTAATATTGCATGGTTTTACTTTGATTGTGTTATTGGTGTTTTGTTTTTTTGTTTTTGTTTTCTTTTCCTATCCCTTCATTGACAGCGTATAGAAATAGAATTGATTTGTATAGTGACCGTGTAACTTTGGGGAAGAAATTTTCCTTTACTGTTTTTAGGTTCTTCTTGCTGTTCTAAGAATTACATTGACATGAGACAGATAACAGGAGAAAATCAAAGTTTGATAACATGTATACATGGGAGAGACCCAGGAAAACTGAGTAACCCGTCAAAATGGCTGAAGCCTTGACCTTAAATACCATCTTCAGCTAAAGACAAAAGAAGATGTTGGGGGTAGTGGTTTGGGACCTCAAAGGAGAGGAAGGCAATTCACATGGAAATGAAAAAGCCAATGATAAACAAATATTTGCTGGGCTGCCCCTAGACAATGGGACCCAGAGTGGACTCTGATCTCCAGGCCCTGCCGAGTTTCCCCACCACACTCAGCCCATAGTCTTTGCAGAGCTCTCTGGTGACAGCTCTGTTCTGGGAACTGGCCCTTTATCTAAATTCTTTAGGCAGCTAAGGGGGAAGGTCAAAGTTTCTCCTTGAGTCTTTTGGGCCTTGATTGTTTTCAGCCTGAAATAATCCACATGCCAGAGACATTTTAGGGTGGCAAATTTTGCTCCCCTACATAACTAACCTGTGAACTTGCTAACTTCACTTATTTCTAATTCTTTTTTGTATATTTCTTAGGCTTTTCCAAGGATTATGTTGTCTGTTAATAAAGACAATCTTACTTCTTTTCCAACATGTGTGTCTTTTTATTTCTTCTTTTTGCCTTCTCGGAATGGCTAAGGACACCAATAAAATGTTCAATAGAGAAGGTAAGGGACTTCCCTGGTGGTCCAGTGGTTAGGACTCCGCACTTCCACTGCAGGGGGCTCAGGTTCAATCCCTGGCTGGCGAGCTAGGATCCCACAAGCCGTGCACTGCACGGCCAGAAAAAGAGAGAGAAGGTACGAGTGAATATCCTTGCCTTGTTCCTGATCAATTTGAAGAGCTCACTGGCTTTATTAAAAGATTCAAAATTGGACAGCATCCCGTCTGGCCAGTCAATAAAAAGGAGCTCCAAAGAGCTACAGCAAAGGAAAGATTTTTAAAAGCAGGGAGGGGGTGGGACAAAGAAATCATAAACAAACAAAAAGGGTTACTTCTGGCAAGGTTACCTTCCTTTGGGGGACAAAAGTGTCTATTAGGCAGATTACTTCACTGGCTCTGACAGGGAACTTCCAGACTGACCTGTTAACGTTTACATTCCTGGGCAAAGCTGAAACTGCAATTAGATTAGATAGCTCTCAAGTCTTGGTCTGATGATATGGGCTTAGCACACATGACTACATTTGGGACTTACAGTTTCTTTTTTTAACAGGGGAAAGCATTCAGCTATTCTTTTTTTTTTTTTTTTTTTTTTTCCGGCTGTGCCATGTGGCTTGTGGGATCTTAGTTCCCTGACCAGGGATTGAACCCAGGTCATGGCAGTGAAAGCACCAAGTCCTAACCACTGGATAGTCAGGGAATTCCCTTCTCTTTTTATACTTTGAAGCATGTGCAAGACCTCTACACAGAAATAAACCCATACATCTACAGTCAATTGATTGTATTTATTTTTTTTTAATTTTTAATTGAGGCAAAAAAGTACATAACGTACAATTTACTATCTGAAGAGGAGAAATGGTCGCTGAAGGAAAAGGAATGAATACCTGGGTTATATAATAAGGAAAATGCAATATTAATAAACACCTCAGAAAAGGCTCAGAGCAAGAGCTAATAGTGTCTCTTAGCTCAATTATGCCAGATATCTGAAAGGGTAAAGCTGCAAGTTTCCTGAGATCACTCCTGCTTTGGGGATCCTGACAAGATCTCCAGTGGAGGCCTGCAAACCTAAGCGACCTCCGCCTGAGAGACATTTTCATATGATACGATAATGGACTGGACTAATTATTAATGACAAAATGGAACTTTGATAATGTGACCGTAGTTTTATTTTATTTTATTTTAATTAATTAATTAATTTTTGGCTGCGTTGGGTCTTCGTTGCTGCGCGCAGGCTTTTCTCTAGTTGCAGTGAGAGGGGGCTACTCTTCGTTGCGGTGCGCGAGCTTCTCGTTGCAGTGGCTTCTCTTGTTGCGGAGCACGGGCTCAAGGCGCACGGGCTTCAGTAGTTGTGGCACGTGGCTCAGTAGCTGTGGCTCGAAGGCTCTAGAGCGCAGGCTCAGTAGTTGTGGTGCACAGGCTTAGTTGCTCCGCAGCATGTGGGATCTTCCCGGACCAGGGCTCGAACCTGTGTCCCCTGCATTGGCAGGCGGATTCTTAACCACTGCGCCACCAGGGAAGTCCCTGACCATAGTTTTTGATTTGTATGATTGTTTGGCTGTAAGGAACCCAAGTTCTAAGGGGGTAGGTATTGTAATATTTTGATTTATGATAAGAAATATACGTGTGGTCTTTCTCCCTGTTCCTGGCACAGAGATTCTAAAACCCTTGGAATGATCCAAGAGGTGAGAGCCATAAAGCTGTTCTTTATTACGTTGATAAGGGGGCTTTGGGAAGGCCACTAGGTAATCTCATATCGTGGGCTGGATGCCAGGGGA